GTGTCATCTATAGTACATATGTCTACTATCCCATGCAATGAAAAACATCTGCTAGACTCTTGTTCCACTACAGTATACTAAACTAAAGGCCTTTTCACACTGACCAGAAGTGACACTGGGTTTTTTGACCAGTGAGTGTTTTCGTCCGGTGTTTTCAACCATACCATTCACTGACCAGTTCTCAATACACCTTTTGACTTTTTTTATTCATAGACTCTAGCTGTAATTTAAGTGTTTTGACGACAGTGGCTCAGTTGGTAGAGCATTGGCCTTTGAGCCTGAAGGTGGTGCGTTCGAGCCCACCGTAATACCTACTTCACGACTCCCACTGATAACTGCTTTCGTTGTGTCCTTGGGCAAGACACTTAACCCCACTTTGCCTGAAGCCCCCAATGAAAGATCTCAGCTCCTGTGGACTCACCACCTGCAGGAGGATCAGTGAGGGGCTGGTGCACTGTGTACTGGGTGCAGCTCTGACTGCCACCCCCCCCCCAACCCAGAAATGGATTAAGGGGAAGAAAATGGATGGATGGATGGTGTTTATGCTCCTGGATCGTTAACTTTCCTATAAGGCCATGATTGGTAATAATGTATTGCAAATATTAATAAATAAGTATTCTGTGTGGGGTTTTTTTTTGCATATATTACAACTATAAGACTATAAAATTAATTCAGTCAATGAACAACGCATTTGAGGCTTCCATTAGTTGCTTCATACATTTGCAATTTATTCATTGTCAACCACAAAAAAGTAATGTGGGTAAATACATTTACTTTTAAAAAAAGATCATGTTTGTCTTAATATATTGTGAAGTTTGATGCGATAGCAGTGATCAACATTAACCAAGGAAGCGCGTCATTTAGGCCAAGACTGGTGGAGTATTTTCTTTGCAAACAAATGCAAAAGTGATGCCAGCATTGTACATATATTGCAATAAGTCTAATACGCTGAATTAGTAAACATGGAATTTAAAATAAACTTGTACTATACACATGTGCCACTGCTGTCCTCATCTGCAGGTTACCAGCAAGAAAATTGAATCAAAAACACAGAGGATATAATGCAAAGAAAAAACCTTCTTACTTTTCATCAAACAACTATTTGCTTCCAAATGTTTTTGAGCTCATGAAATGTACCATTTCAATCACAAAATGGCAAGAATTGACAAATAGCAAAGAAAGCCCGAAATAATCAATCCGTCCGAATTATCTCAGGATTCCCTCGGATGAGCTGGAGGAAGTATGTGGAGAGGGAAGCCTGGGCGTGGCTACCCCCAATGCCCTGGCAGCAGGTAAAGCAGAAGGAAATGGAATGTAAAACATTTTTACCTTTTGCATTTATGCTTTCGGTTTGAGAGCTGATTGAGTCTCAAATCAGTTGAGATGCATGTATTTGTTGACAGTGGCCAGTAGATTCAAGAATTTATTTGCCATTTGCAGTAAAACCACATTGAAAAAACTGTGCAAGACTATCCCAGTGTGCAAGAGCACACACCAGGGCTCTTACCACGTGTATTTGGAATGTTTTTCAGTTATCATTTTAGTGTAGTAATTAGGGCTGTCCAAAATAGCGCGTTATTAACGCGTTAACGCAAATCAATATTAATGCCGTCATTTTTTTTATGGCGCGATAAAAAAAAATAAAAAAATATATATATATATATTTTTTTTTTTACTTTTTATTGCAGACAAACACATATACAGAAAAAAAAATAGAAACAAAGAAAAGGACTAGTTCAGATACATTGTAGACAGAGATTACAAACAATATGTAGTTGGAGATACGGGGGCCAAAGAAGAAACCCAGAATGGCACATAGGAGGGGAGGGGGGGGGGGGGGGCATGAAGTGGGAGATGGGGGGAGGGGTTAATAAAAAAGGCAATACAAGCAAACAGTATACAGTCATAGATATACCGAAGGTAAACAGAGAAACAGCATAGAGTATTTACATGAACAAATTTACAAAATATTTACAGATTGTTTATCATCATATCATAATGACACCATGATGTTTCTATACAGTCTATGGTCTATACCCACACATACACACACACACCCACACACACACATTGAAGGGGCTTTTTGTTACCAATTATTTATTTTGTCATCCATTTATTGATGATTTTGCATCAAATGTTAGTGTGTAATATAACACTACACATTGTTTTCAATAAAAAAAGCAATTGCACACAGCACGCAAATGTGTGACTAATTTGCGATTAATTGCGAGTTAACTATGAAATTCATGCGATTAATCGCGATTAAATATTTTAATCGTTGGACAGCACTAGTAGTAATATGTAATTCAAGTAATATGTGGCTAAAATATATTGTATTCACTGTTATCTCCAGCAAGTCTTCTGGGCAACGGGAGTTGTATGCAGATGGGACCAGGCTACAATGCAAACAATGTTTTGCCCATTCCACAACCCCAACTTCAAAATGGGCAACAACCCTAATGTCAAATGGCTCAAAAACACAAATCACACTAACTTTTAACACGGGATTCTTTACCATTCTGACAGTTGACAGTTGCAGGACGTCTTTGGTTATCAACGGCACAGTTGTTAGTAAGTACATGTGCTTCACAGCAACAAGGGCTCAATTCTATAGACAGGACTGCAGTATTGACAACAAAATCAAAAAAATATATTTTGTTTATAAATAAATGTAAATAATAATTGTAAATTCATCTATTGTGAGATCAAATTAAGTTTTATCTTATCTTAATGTATCAATTTCATATAGCACTATTATTTTATTTTATTTTAGTATAGAGTTATCTTGTGCTGTGTGCTACCCATCCACAAATTTCCCCACAGTGGGACAAATAAAAGATCTCCTGATCTTCATCTTTGGACACTTTTGGATGCTTCAAACGTTCACTCCAGTAGTGATACGTTACAATTGTAGCCACAGATGCCCTGGAGTAGACTGACAGAAGCAAGACCCCCTGTGCCATGAGCCCCTCCAACCACTAGTAATCATTTATGCACACACCATACTCTCCCATCACAGTGCAAGCCTGGCCTTAGCCATCTGTTAACTCCGGTGATCCTAGTGTCTGCAGTTAAGGGGATACTTCAAGAGTTTGCGCCAAATTTGCTGGTTGTAGTTTGGCAATGACGGCAAATGTAACAGTAAGTAAGTAATCTTTATTTATATACCGCCTTTCACAAACCAGAGTCACAAAGCAGTTTACAATTGTAACAGTAAAGTGATATATTCTGGTTTGGTTCCAAATATCAAGAAATTGAAGCCGGAGCAAGAGGAATATTGAGCAAATGTCATTGCTGGCAAAGATGTTAAAGCTTTACTCCCCTCGGGCTCCGTTAGTGGCAAAGGAGATGCTAGGCTAAATGGCTAACTCACTCGGGTGCATTATATACGTCACAGTAAACTCAGGTCCAATCTTTTCAATCTGCACAGGAGTTAACCCCTCCCACCTGTTACTGAAGCTCAATGGAACAAATCCAGACCTTAGTATGAAATGAAATTAGTCGGATGGTATGGAAAGACCAGGCTATCACAGTACTAACCAGGCAGGAAAATACGTAAATAAAACGTGATTTAAGCCTGATTTTGAAAGCAGACTTGGGATCTATTTTCAAGTCACCTGTCCAGTTTGTTTGAACAATACATGTTTTAGCCTGCCCTCCAGGTGCAGAGGTATGCCCCGACCTCATGTGACCCTTGAGCTTCAAGGGTCACATGGGCTAATGTCCTTGACAGGCCAGCTGGTCAAAGGTCACACCACATTCAGAACAAGTTATGTTGTCTCATGAGAAATCTTAACATGATACCAAATATGTTCAAAACTTCAAATTAATCAAGACTTGGGACTTGACTTGGATCTCAGTGTCTTCAAATAACTTTGTCATCTGGACTTTTTAAAGAACTATTTACAAACTTTCTATCATGTTTCTTTTCCCATTGGGTTTTTTCTGTTGTTTCTTGCCGATGCAGGAGGACAGTGGTGATGATCCAGGACATTTAAAGACATCTATTACCATTTATGGACATTGGTCATCTTGAAATTCAAAGCATAGGACATGGACTTGTCATGAACTTGAGATTAAGACTGGACCCTCAAAAAAAAAGACTGAACCACAGACTAAAATATCTTTGGTTATATGCATTTAATTTATCCAGACCCCCAAGTTAAAACAGGGTTTTCAAAAGTTGATGTGCACATCTGTGAGCCAATACAGCTCTCAAAGATGAGGTCCATATGACTGCAGAGAATCTCCAGACTGCAGAGCGCTGCAGGCTGCTGTGGTTCTGTAGCCCTGCTGTATGCTGCTATGGCTAAAGCAGGTATGGACATGTTTAGAAAAAGAAACCTGCACCTCTCGCATCTCACAAGAAGTCAGAGATTAGATTTAATGATTGACAAGGCAAAACAACAACCTAAGCCAAAAGATAGTTAAATTATGTGTGACTTGATTGCAAGAAAGACAGTGTTGTTTGACCAATGACTATTGCAAAAGGAAATACTTTTTCAAAAGTGAAATAAATATCTGGTAGATATTGAGACAAAATGGGATCATAACTGCATCATATACATCGATCCATCCATTTTCTTCCCCTTTATCCATTTCTGGATAAGAATTCACAGAGTAAAAATGTGTGTATGTTTACGTTAATCAAAGATTAATAAAAAAAATATATATTGAATGAATATAAATAGTTATATCATCCTTAATGTATCTTTTTTATTTTGCCTTGCTGCCTTGCCTTGATGTTTTAATAATTACTGTTTAAAACGTGAAAGCACTTTTGGTTATTTCAAAGCCCTGGCTTAAGCATCAATCGTTGGTAATCAATCAATGAATAATTGTTAAAACAATATTAGACATACGTAAATTAGTAGACTGATGTGTTAAAAAAATACGCTTAGTTCAGTCAGTCATTTGAAGACGCGCTTCTCACCTGCTCTGGATGCGGGGACCGTCACAAGCAGCAACAGCAGCCACGTTTGATGTATCCGATTCCAAATATGTTTGGGCTCCATCGCGGAGCACGGAGCGCGCTATACCTGGTCACACCGAGCTTTCTCCGGACACCTGCTTCAAGCCCGCGGTCCCTGTACTCTCTGTGCGCCTTGTTCTCCCGGGTGGCCTGTAGGACTTCGGAGTGGACGGATGAGGAGCGCAGACCAGAGCGGTATCCCTTTATCTCAAACAGACGGTGTTTGCCTCTCACCCCCTACTCCCCTCACTTTATCTCTCTCCTCTCCTCCCCGAGCCTCCTCAGACGTACCCCTCCCTCCTCCACACACCGGACTAAAGACTGAGACTTGTGACCTCGTGAGGAGAGACAACTCATTGCTCTTGTTTATAATTAGTGCGCTGGTGAGTGATGGCAGGGCATGCACCACGCTGTATAAGGTGTGTACAACTAATTAGGATTCAGGCCTTTACTGCTCTCATAAGCAGCGTAAACGATACATCCAAAAGGAGAGATAATGTACACTTGAATATACACAGTGTTACATTATGCCTCACATACACACACATGCACAGTTAGCATGCTGGGACAGGACGACGCGCTGCCCGACTAATAAAAATATGCTCCTGCAGATTCCAAATTCCAGAGCTTGTCTGTTTTTGCCCACCACACTTATAGCAAACTCACCACATCCTATAGACTTAATAATTATAGTTCTAGTAAAGTTACATGTCGACGAGGCCAATTGCTGCAGATGAAGAAAGGAGATTATGACATGAACAGCTATAGCTTTAACGGCATTCAAGATAATAGTTCATGATGTAATACTAATTGTGGATAGTAATTATGTTTTTTATTGTTTTATTATTTGTTCCAGCAGAAAATGATTCATTGCACTAACTCAATTTAATTGTTGGCAAATGTTACAACCCAATAGATCCATGGTTACAACCAAAAAATAGCTCATTCAAACTCAAATAACGTCCTTCTGTGTATATTGAAGTTATTTAGTTAGACCAGTGTCTCCCAAAGTGGGGTCCGCGGCCCCCTGGTGGGCCGCGAGGGTACTGCAGGGGGGCCGCGGGAGGTCATAAAAAAATAATTATAATAATGTAATTATTTAATGTTAAATTTATAATGTTTTGTTTGTAATATTAAAATATTTGTGTTCATTATTTGACTTGAATAATCCACTGTAATCATTTTTGTATTACAATGTTTGTAGCAGAGGCTATTTCCCCAAAATAAAATAACCAGAAGAGCCTATTCTTAATGTTGTCTTCTTGGTTATTATTTTGGGGGGCCACGCAGACCCGTCAGATTTTTAAGGGGGCCTCGGTGTTACTGAGTTTGGGAATGGCTGAGTTAGACCAACTATTTTTCAATTTTTTAAACTAAAATTAAAGCCTTTAACAAAAAAAAATATTAAAATTGGTTAGGTCAAGAAGTTAAAGGCTTGTACATGAACAAAGGTTAAGCAGTTCATTTAAATTCAGAGCTTAATGTAAATTAGTTTAGTCGAGCAATTTTAAAACTCGAATTCATAAAATTTATCTTAGCCTCAATTCATCAAGAGGTTGTTCATCTAAAATGTTTTTAATTTTAAATATGACATAAAAACCCAATGAACAGATTCAACACCAGTATAAATGAAAATATTTATTTTATCCATCACCACCCTGAAGGGCTTAGAAACACCAAAAACAGTGTCGAACTGAATGCTTTACAAAACCGTATAGATCACAAAAATAAAGTATAAACAAAGAAGAACAACTCAAATTCTGCAACAAAGTTTCTCAGTTCACACTGCGGCTTGGGAACGTGGTACAACAAAGTCTAAAAAAAGAAAAAAAAACCAGACGCACAGACATTATTGTTGGCGCATACCATAACACAGCCTTACAATTACAGGAGTGAATGTTTTAACTTACCTTATCTAAAGAGATTCTTTTTTCTTTGTACCGCCACAGCAGATGTGGCCACAAACCAAACAGCTCATACTGAAGAACTTACAGAAACTTAATATGCAGTTCAATGTGTGTTATTTTAGCAGCACTGCTAACCACCTTACTTCCCAAAAACTCACATATTAGCTAGCTAAGGTTCAATTGTAATTTGCGTCACTGCAGCCAACGACATAATGTCCAACGAAGTGTGACACGTGACATACAACAAGTGACTAGCAAAATAAATGTGCAAATACTTAAATCAAAGTAGAACTTCCAAGCTCCGTGCAGAACATGCTCAAAATTAAAAAGGCAAGACCTGCCTCTCTCCCAAACTGGTTTGTTTTGGGTTCAGCACGGCTAAATAATCAAGTATGCAATCGATTTAGGTTCAAATAATTTAATACATTAAGGTTTAGATAAATCTATTTATGTTTGTTTTTTGAAACTATTTAAATCTGTTTTGTTTGAATATCTATGAGAAAAAAGATAGTTACATACATTTGGCTGAAGGTATACAGTTTTTTTAGGCAAAATATCAATGTGTTCACATCAAAGAGGGAATCATTTCATGTAAATCAATTAGGTTTGTAAGAATTTATCTTTTTGAATGCTGTTAAAATAATGTTTTATTCATTTTGAATTTGTCACCTCAAAGAGTGATTTGGCAAACAAAAATATTTTAGTTTACAATGAACATATCTATTTAGTTTATGGTTGTACCCACTATATTATCATGACGCAAACAAATACATGTGTTACCTGAGTCAGTTTTTAGAGTATACTCTTTGATACTATTTGTTCCTACTCTTCAAAGTCATGCCTAGAATGACAACAAATATATATATATTTTTTAGGGTAATGTCTAGGTCTACAACACCTGTGACAGCTTAATACACGTATATTCATGTTTGAGGCTGCCAACAAAATGATGAAATGCACATATGCTAGTATATAGTATAAGTCAAAACAGATTCCAGACATTTTTCCATAGGACCAACCTTTAGCTGCAGGTATGAGCTGGAAGCTGCACTCACAAAACAGAAGCCCTTTTGGAAATCTGACTGAATAGGTTTCTAATTGATTTACTTTGGAGTTCTGCAAATATGTGTGTGGTTCCCTTTGTGTAGCATGTTACAAAGACGAATGTTCAGCATTTGAAAGTAACAAAATGTGTTATAAAAGACAGAAGGACAGAGTTTTAGTTTTCAGCAGTAGTCTCATTGCTTACCACTGGGTGGCGCCATTTGTTGGAGGTTCTTTGGTAGGAAGTTTTATGAACCGTCATGATGCTTTACTCCTTGAAAATAAATATAAGAATTCTTTTTTGGGATTTTCTATGTTGTAGGAGTACTAATAACCAAAATAATTTGTTTTCATTTCTTTTGGAACATCTAGTTGTTTAATTATAGACCTCAACCAAATGGTAGAGATGCAGGTTGATGGTATAAATCTAATACATAGTTATACATGTGTTATTGCAAATAAATAATAATTTTATACCTACAAATACAGAAAAAGGCAGGAAATTAAACGATGCCAGAAATTCACTCATGTGAAGATTTTATTATTGAAAACTATAGCATTTTAACATAAAAACATATAATCTCAAATGGAAACTATTACAGCTAAACATTTAAGGATTTTATATATTCATTTTCCAGCAATTGTAATAAACAGAACCCAGGGGTTGCCTTCCTAACATCTCAGATGAATTATTGGGTCAATAAGAAAGTAAAAAATAAATAATAAATGAAAAATGACACAAATGACAATCTTGGGACCCTTAAATCAGTCACTTTATTTTTGATGGTATGTGACAAATAATATCTGTGATTAAAAACAGGAAAACATTGCACTTTCTGCATTTCCATCTTGTCAAAGCCTTCAGGCAGAGGCTGTGAGGTTCTTTATCTTCAATAAGAACATCTCCATATGCAGTTGAGCCGAACGTTGCGGATGCTCTCTATACCAATCAATAAATGAATGCAAAATAAATAAATAAAAATTGTGGTTATTTTTAATGTATTTTTCATACATTTACTAGATTGTAACCATATGATTGAGATTTCACTCCATGCTAATTTTTACCAAGAAGTGCCTGCTCAACCAAATGGTCATGCATGTTTTCAAAAAATTATTTGTCCCTCACAACACCTTTTTTTGTTGCATCAAGTTATATATTACTGTTAAGTCATCTGTTTGTCTATATAAAATGTTGAAGATATATATTTACCTTTAAAATTGGACCCAAAATAGGCAGCACAAACAAAAACAGTGACCTCGGGTGGATATTTTGAGTATAATATATTTAAACCAAGCGGTGGAGACGCCCCAATGAGGTAGATTTCAGTTCCTACCATGCTTCAAGTAGATGTAGTCACTCAAAATGAGGTCTACCAAATGGTTGAGGAAACCTTAAAGGGTTTAAGCAGCATGTAGCCCCTCAAACCTCCACACTCCCACTGCACTGCAACAAAACTGAGTCAAACATTGGTTGTACCAAAACATATTTACCAAAACTTGAGTGTATTGTCTTCATATATATTTCCCAGTGGGAAAAGCAAAAGAGACAAGGAATTGTGTAATAGTATGTTTTACTTTATTGTTTGTATTTTATTTACATACTAAATTTTCACCCTTGTTTTAAATGTAATGATGCATATAATTGTTATTAATTTTGAATATGAGTTTATGTTATTCCTACTATTACAAAGATAATAAGTGCATGAGTGCAGGCTCCTCTCTGCTCTCATATTTACTGTGGGTGGTTGAATAATCCCTGTGCTGGGGCCATGTGACACTCAGTGAGAATCCTCTTAGCGACTCTCCTCTCACTTATGCAGAGCCCATCCTCCTCGGGACTCAGGCAGGGGAACAGGCAGACTGACAGGGGACAGGAGCCATGGCAAGTCCGGGACAGAAAGTGGTGCTCATTACGGGCTGTTCCTCTGGTATTGGCCTGCGCATGGCTGTGATGCTGGCCAAGGATGAGAAGAAGCGCTACCATGGTAAGTGCACTGGTCTTTTTCTTAATGAGGAATGAGCAATGAGGAATACAGAACCTATTCAGTTAAGATACTCACTACATAACACAAAATGTGAAGGGAAGAATAAAGATGTTATGGGAAGCACTGTACTTTTTTACCTTCTTTCCTTACTCTACTAATGTTGAATGAAGTACTGACAATAATATCCAAATTTCTTCCAACACAGAACACAAAAACTGCCACATCATATTTGAAAGATTTTTTGCACACTCATCACAGCATCACAATCACTATTCAACATAGCTTTAGCTTTTCTATTACTTAAGAAAATAATCAGGCCTTTTGTGACTTTTACTATGAAGTCTTATGTATTTGTTGGTAAACCCTCTATAATCTTTAGTCCATGTTAAGTCCAAAGAACCTAAGACAATAGGCTAAAGCTGAGCATAGCTTATCTAAGATTCACCCAGACTGTGTGTGGGGCAGCCAGATAACCAGTGTTATAACTGGACTATAAACACACCTCTTAAAGCTAAAATTGTCACACAAGTTATTTTAGGACTGCAAGAAGAGAGTCTATTCTAACAATGATGGTAAAGAAAGCAGACATAAATGACACAGAAATGCCCTGCTCACTTAAATGACAGAAAACCAGGCAGTCAACTTTTATAGTGGTCTGTTTGTTATTGTGACATTTAGCTGGGAAGAAGTCCTGCCCAGGTGGGGCAGAATGAGCGCCACTGCCCACAAACTTAAAAGGTTCAAATTCAGAAAGAGAGTGCTCCAGCCACTCACACATTGAAAATTGCCCTGTTATTGAAGGCTTGGCAACACAAAAGAGGGAACTATATTATGTGAACGCATTTTAACCCTTACTTACCCACTGCCATACAAAAGATCATGGATGTAAAAATGTATTGTTTTTTTTAGGTTGTTCAATGCCATTTTGAAAGAAAGTATTGCCTATAAATATAAAGAAATGAATCTGGGTGAAATATTTAATGGTCTCTGCCTTAACTCTCGGGGCGACAGTGGCTCAGTGGGTAGAGCATTGGCCTCTAGGCCTCAAGGATGTGGGTTAGAGCCCACCAAAACCTACTTCACACATCCCACTGATGACTGCTGTCGTTGTGTCCTTGGGCAAGACACTTAACCCCACTTTGCCTAAAGCCCCTGCTGGAAGTTCAAGGCTTCTGTGGGCTCACCATCTGGAAGAGGATCAATGAGGGGCTGGTGCTATGTGTACTGGGTGCAGCTCTGACTGCCACCTCTCTGACCCATAAATGGATAAAGGGGAATAAAATGGATGAATGGATGGATGGATGCCTTAACTCTTGTTTAGTATTCATAGTAGTGTACAGTATTTGGATTTGACCAGGTATCTTGTGCGTATCCAGTCACGCTCCATGACAAGACAACACAATCTATGTAAATCTTAACAAACAAGCTCTTACATACTGTATACACCGTTGTGTGGGTGTGCGTGTGTAGATGTATGTTGCTTGTGGAGTATGCATTTTTATTTTGCCTTGTGTTAATGCCCAGAAATTAATATTATTACTATGTTTGATCTACTTTTATCCCAAGGAAAAAGTAAGCTTTAAAAGTGAGCATGCATCATAAAATTCATATACTGTATCAAGAGTATAATATTATTATATTATTAAACATTCTCCATGTCCCCTCCTTGTCACCTTCCCATGCACTCCATGTCCCCTCCCCATGCCCTCCATGTCCCCTCAATGTGCCCTTTCTGTCCTCTCCCCTTGCTGTCCCTGTCCCCTCATCGTACCCTCCCTGTCCCCTCCCCATGCCATCACTTTCCTTTCCCCGCACCCTCCATGTCCCCTCCATGACCCCTCTCCGTGTCCTCCCCGTGCCCTCCCTGAGGCCCTCCCTTTGTCCTCCCTATGTCCTCCATGTGTCCTCCCTTCCGCAGTCATAGCCACGATGCGGGACCTGAAGCGGAAGGATAAGCTGGTGGAGGCAGCCGGAGAGACCTATGGAAAGACCCTCTCTCTGGCCGTGCTGGATGTGTGCACAGATGAGTCGGTCAAACAGTGCATTGATAGCATCAAGGACCGGCATGTGGATGTGCTCAGTGAGTAATAGCCCGGGAAGACGCATACAGCAGCATTTTTGGTGTTATATTCATGCAAAATGTATTGGAATTGCAAGAATTTCTAAATTGCATAAGAAGATTAATGCAGATTAATGCATGTAAAAATTCAGCCAAATACTGTAGCTGTCAAGCTCCATTCTTATATGAAGGAGGATTTTCAAACTGTAGATACCTGTCTGGAGGGAGCGTAGATCTGATCTGGACCTTTTTGTTTGTTTCAACCGAGTTTGAATAATATATAACTATAAAATCAACACCATAATTGATTTAACATTTCAAATAAGCAGTACTTCACACAGCAAATGCACTTAAAGTAATTGTTCCTATAATGAGTGCACATGCCTTGTCTTGTCAAAACAGTTAATAATGCAGGTATCGGCCTGGTGGGTCCAGTGGAAAGCATCCCTATAGAGGAGATGAAGAAGGTGTTTGAGACCAACTTTTTTGGAGTGATCCGCATGATCAAAGAGGTGATGCCTGATATGAAGAAGCGTCGTGGGGGCCACATCATTGTGGTGAGCAGCGTCATGGGTCTGCAAGGTAAGTGCACAGAGATACCCTCTTTAAAGGAATAGTTCACCGTTTTTACATACTGACATATGTTCTTACCTTACCTTAGACTAGTTAATACGTACCTGTCTGGTCTTAGTCCGTGCGCTCTGTCATGCAAACGGAGCAAAAACGGGAGCACAAACGCAGCCTCCTCTGTATACTGTGTAGGACCAAAAGGTAGCTCCCGCTAGAAGCTACCAAACTCTTCCAAGTGTTCCCTATTAAATGTATATAGTTACGTGACGTGTTAAACTGCAAAGTATAGTAACACAGAAATGTAACAGTCGATTTTCTCAGCGGATAAAACGGGTACTATATTGTGAGGCGTAGTAATCTGAGGAGCGCTACGTCCGCGCACTAACTTCTCTCCGGAGACTTCTCTCTCGCTCACTTCCGTCAATAGAAGCAGCGTGACTTGTAGTACGGAGAGAAGTTAGTGCGCGGACGTAGCGCTCCTCAGATTACTACGCCTCACAATATAGTACCCGTTTTATCCGCTGAGAAAATCGACTGTTACATTTCTGTGTTACTATACTTTGCAGTGTAACACGTCACGTAACTATATACATTTAATAGGGAACACTTGGAAGAGTTTGGTAGCTTCTAGCGGGAGCTACCTTTTGGTCCTACACAGTATACAGAGGAGGCTGCGTTTGTGCTCCCGTTTTTGCTCCGTTTGCATGACAGAGCGCACGGACTAAGACCAGACAGGTACGTATTAACTAGTCTAAGGTAAGGTAAGAACATATGTCAGTATGTAAAAACGGTGAACTATTCCTTTAAAGTGCCATATTGCGTCCTTTTCATGTTTCACAGTCCATCCTATGCACATTTGTGATAATATTTGGGTGATACACCATACAGCACTCAAAACTTGTGAGATTACCACTCACAGCTGCGCAGCCACACATAGGCGAACTGCACTGGGTCCAGGGTGGGGCTGTCCACATAGAGGAGATAGGTGAGGGACTGATCCCGTCCGGTTCTGTGGATTTCCTCTGCTTCAGTCGCTTCAGCTCTCTCCTCACCTGGTCCGGTATGATGGAGAGGGGGGAGTGGGCGGGTGTACTAACCAAGGTGGGGCAGGTGATGGGGGATGAGGATGTGGGTGAGGTTGAAGGCAGTCTCCACTGAGCGGTGTCCACTGGGTGGTGTCCAATGGGCAGTGTCCAATGGGCAGTGTCCAATGGGCGGTGTTCACTGGGCGGTGTTCACTGGGCGGTGTGTACTGGGCGGTGTTCACTGGGCGGTGTGCACTGGGCAGTGTCCGCTGGGCAGTGTCCACTGGGCAGTGTCCACTGGGCAGTGGCCGCTGGGCTGGAGACGTGTGACGAGGTGGGGACAGGAAGGAGGGCAGATGGAGAGGGGGGAGAATCAAATTTGTTGAAATATTGGTTACATTTGTCCACCCGGCGCTGGTCTCCACCCGCTGTCCCTCTGGCACTCTGTCCAAATCAGAGGATGTTCTTAAGACCTCTCCACACGTCGCGGGCGTTTCCCTGTGCCAGCTTCTGCTCCAGCTTTCCCCCATATTCCTTCTTGGCCCTCCTGATCCTCCACTGGAGCTTGTGCTAGATCCTCTTCTCCTCCTCTTTGTCCCCTAAGATGAAAGCCCCTTTCTTGACGTTCAGGAGGACTTTAAGCTCAGGGGTCACCCACGAGTAGGTGTTCCTAGTCGGTACAGTGTTATCCACACAGAATCTGTTATGCAGTGGGTTAGCCTTTCAAAGTCATCTCCATGAGAGTCTCTCCTTTGCCTCTTCAGTCCACACTGTAACAGACTTCTTCTATCATTTTCATTATTATCATTATTATTATTATTGATAAAAACAGCATATTCATTGTCTATTGTTTCCCTGTTTTGACAACATGATTAAAGGACCATTTTTAAATTCTAAAAACAGTTTTCTGCACGTCATAATTGTCATCGATGTTGAAATCGTCATAGATGTAGACACGAGCTTTTTGCTGCCTCTCTCGAATGAAAGACAAAGATTGCTCTCTAAGGCTGCGGTCACATGCCCAGACACGTTTGAAGACTTGGGCCATGGCCCGCTTTGTAAAGCCCAGATGAGGGGGATCAGTGTGGCGGGTGGTGGGGAGTGGGGGATGATGTGGGGGATGAGGTGGGGTAGGAACGTGATATTGTGCGTCACATTACGTCTTCCGTTGTGACGGGCTTTTTCACACACGTCTCTTCTGTACTTTCGTATTCTCCGCTTGTGTTTAAACTTTCATATAAGCCCCCAGAACCGTGGTCGAGGGCGCAGGGGGGGTGTCGCTGCAGGGCGAGAGGGAAGCGTTTCCTACGGGGATTACTGTCCTGACCCTCGGTCTCAGTGTGGTGCTATTGTAATAACACTTCAGACATTCAAGAATCAGACTTTATTTAATCGCCAGAACACACCAACATTCACTTGTATCCTGCCTGTCTCTTGTCGCTCTCATCCCTCATTTTCATTCCTTCATTCTCATTCAATCATTTCTCAGTGCACTTATGCTTGTACGAGGGGGGCTCCTGTGTCCGTGGCGCACACACACACGCACGTGTGCACGCACATGTCACCCACTCAACTGCTGCACTTTGCATCAGAGCAATGTGGACAAGTGTGAGATGTGCCTTTCCCTGAACAACGCAATCTGTACTCGAGCTGTTAGCTACAGTAGCAGAATGTAAACAGGAAGAAATAGATCGGAAACTTAACTCGTACAAAGAGGTCGTTGCTGGAGTTAGTATTAGCGCCACCAGCTGGACCGAGCGTTGTACTACAGCACAGTCGCTCTGGCACGTTCGCGAGAAGAAGCTCTTGTGACCGCGGGTTGTGCTTCACACCCCTGTGGCAATGATCCGGGCCACTTGGCCTGGTTCGTTTTTAAAACTTATGTAACCGCGCCCTAACTGAAAAAATTACTCTGGGCATGTGTATGAAGGCCAAAAAGCACTAATGATGTTTAAAGCAGAAGAAAGTCAAAAAGCGTAGTATGGCACCTTTAAGAATACCCCCCTCTGAGCCATTACAGTTAAAAAGAAGAATTATAATGCAAACTATAAACTACACAGTGTGAAAACATTGCATCCGCTTTTATGCAGGAGTGGTGTTCAATGACGTGTATGCAGCCTCAAAGTTTGCCATGGAGGGCTTCTGTGAGTGTTTGGCGGTGCAGCTCCTCAAGTTTAACGTCACGTAAGCTCTTTGACTATTACTACATGTTTTTATCTTTCTGTAATTTGTTTATCTCCGGTATGTCTACATTCCCTTTCGAGGCTGTATATGAAGTAGGACTTTCAGTGAACACAAAGGGGAATATTGGAATTCAGAGATGTTAAAGCACCAAACAAGAATATCCCAGTCCACGTGTCCCCTCAGTAAACTAACTAACTTATGAAACAAATCAGCGGTGTTGTGAGGTCGGGTGCATCTGCTTCTGAGTCCACGTGAGCTACTACGCTACAAAATGTTGGGTTCTTTGGTCCAGAAAAAAAAAAACTGTAAAAGGGGAGGGCAACTTATCTATTTATTTATTTATTGTTTATTTGGTTGTGACAGTACATTTTATTGAATACATCACTCCGGATCAATTCAATCAATTATATTGATACATAATTTTGTTTTTTACAGTATATATTTTTCTACTCAATTGCCCAGCTCAAAATTAAGGCTTTTGTTTCTTCTTAACCTTTACCTTTTTGACTGATGGATTATTTGTCTCTATCTTGTGTATTTTGCATGTGCAGCTTGTCCCTGATCGAGCCGGGACCAGTCCACACTGAGTTTGAGGCAAAGATGATCCAGGAGGTGAAACAGAGAGAGTGTCCAGGTGCTGACCCCGACACTGTGCACTACTTCAAAAATGTCTACCTCCCTTCTTCTCTGGACATCTTTGAGGCACTGGGGCAGACTCCAGATGACATTGCTAAGGTATGATAATATCTGTCAAGAACAAACAATTATAGTGTACAGTATGGTCTTCACCCACATAGCTCATCTGGTGTTTGAGTAATATATGGTAAAATAGCCCCAGCTGCCCTGGGGCTTGAAATAAATGACGACTTGAACACTGTACAAACGTATCTTGAACTTCGACGCAAATGAAATTATGTCAAATGTTATAGCTTTATTATAGTGTTTTTATTGTTTCATAGCGAAAGGGCATCCAGCATACACAAATAAACATTGTGTTAATTGTCCACTAAATCTTTACTTCAAACTCAACATGGTTGATTTTATTTTTTGTTGAAAACATCATTCATTTACCCCTAAAATGTGTTTCATTTGCAGTGCACCAAGAAGGTGATTGAAGCAAGTAGTCCACGATTCCGAAACCTTACCAATCCCCTGTACACGCCAATTGTAGCGATGAAGTATGCTGATGAGACGGGAGGCTTGTCTGTGCACGCCTTCTACCACATGCTGTTTAACATGGGCAGCCTGATGCATGTCAGCATGACTGCCATGAAGTACCTGACCTGTGGCTGTCTGAGGAGCAGGACGGTGTCACCAAACTGAAGGACCATCAATAATTCAATTCAATTCATTTTATTCTTGTAAAGCCCTAAATCACACCAGTAGTTATCTCAGTGGACTTAGCAAAACCGTTGAATTTGCCAACACATTGGCCATACTTTTTGTATTAGTACAAAAAGTATGGAGGATGCATTCCTGTGCACCTTCGTATTGATTTTAAGATTCTGTTATTTGTGTTTAAATGTTTGCATGGAATGGCCCCTTAGTATCTGACTGATCTGCTTGTGCCCCACACCCCGTCACGGGCTCTAAGATCAGCAGACCAGCCTCTTTTAGTGGTCCCAAAGACCAGAAAGAAGTCAAGAGGGGATCGTGCTTTTGCAGCAGCAGCTCCCAGACTGTGGAATGGTCTGCCTCTGCATATTAGACTGTTTTTTTTCCTGTTTTTAAGTCACTTCTTAAGCCTCATCTTTTTACTTTGGCTCAAAGTCAGTTGAGCCTCAACTCAGTGGGTTGACTTTCTGTGCAATATTTTTTAGACTTGTGTTCAGCACTTTAGTCAACTGTGTTGTGTATAAAGTGCTCTATAAATAAAGTTGAAATTGAATTAAACTATACATATATATATATATATATATATATATATATATATATATATATATATGTATATGTATATATATATATATACACACTATTAAATAATGATTAAATAATCAAACGTGCATTGAAAAAATTATATATAATATATTGTATAATAAATTAGATAATGTAATTCAAGTCATTCAATAATAAAGAGAAGCAATAATTATAAAAATACATTATAAAATTGTTTAAGCGTCAATAAATGTTTTAAATCCATGATTCGATAAGTAAATGTGTCAACTAATTTTACAAGTAATATTTTGAATATAAATTCATGATAAAAATTTTCATGACACATTTCATTATAGGACTGTCAGACTGTCAACCTTTTTTAGCTGCTTTTATTAATAAAGCAAAGTAATTCTCACCAAGGTCTATTATCTAACATGTGCAAAAAAGTCTTTCTGATCTTCTTCCATTATCTTGTTTTCACATCATGTTGACCAATGAGGTAATATCAGAATCAGAATCAGAATCAGAATCATTTTTATTGCCACGTAAGTAACAGGAAGTCACAGACTTGGAAATTGCTTTGGCTCAGTGCAACAGTCAAAGAAGAGATACTAACAAATAAAGAATAAAAAACACTTCTAAGGAATAAATTTAAATTTAAAATAGAGTTACTGCGCCCAGTACACATAGCACCAGCCCCTCACTGATCCTCCTGCAGGTGGTGAGTCCACAGGAGCTGAGATATTATATCTGGGGATATTATATATATATATATATATATATATATATATATCGTCATATCCGAATTTTTAAGAATTCGGATTTGACGGTGCTGATCGGGGGGTTTGTGCGTGGAGCCACTGCTCGAGCCTGAGCATGAGCCCTCTGCAGCCGCGGGAAATGTGAAATGCGTCGATAGGGTCGATAGTCTATGGTCGATAGTCTGTAGTTGATAGCAGATACCACGGATCAGTGTAGTCCTCCACAATACGAGGCAAGCAACATCAAGATTCAGGACTATTTTACTTGTAATACAACAACAATACTGCCCTACTACTGTGCGGTTGTACGCCTGCCTTCAGCCTACGTCAATGTCAGAAATCGGTCGCTGTCTGTGGACTTTAAGATACAACGATGCAAAGTACACATGCTAACATCTACAATGCTAACTGGGAACGAAGTCTGGAAAATGCACTGTCTAGTTAACAGCAGGGTTTAGTGTTGTGTCGACAAGATGGAGTGAAAACTGTATATGTGCAAAGTCCTAATTCGGGGTAAGAGCTGCGATGGAGGGCGGACTGGGGCATGTCCTGCAGTGTGAGGAGCAGCTGAAGAACACACTGCACAACAACGACAAGGACAAGGTATACGATCATAAATACATCTGTAATGATACTGACTGTGACACTAAACCTCATATACATGTAACCCTGGCCAGCCACACGATAGGGCATTCCTAGCGTTTACCAAAAATATCTGGATATGTGTTTTTCCCTCTTTTTTTTCGAGGTTGCCAAGGCTATGTAGTCTTTGTGACAATTGGTATTACATTAAAAGGTGGAAAAATCATTGAGTATTTAAACATCCTAAAAGCCTTGTTTCAACTGTTAATTGGGTCAATGACAAATAAGCGTTGGCAAGACCATACATTTTAAAAATCTTTTGTTTGCTATAGCTGTATTAATATACTTAAAGTGAGGATACGTGCACAGATGGAAATAACTGATTATTGTTGCAAGCAGACCATTGAAAATAAATTATTTGTTAATATCCTATTCTGAATATTTTAACCACTCAAAGCTGGAAATGTACTGCGGAGCACATTCTTTTTTTAAATATTGTGTTGACCAAACTAATTTAAAAAGTCAAAATCATCTTAGTTTACATCAGTAAAGAATGACAGTCGATTACTTGTCTCTCTTTATGGACATAATATTTTTTTTACTTGAAAATCTGGTTACACCATTTGACAAGGCTGCTTCGTAAAGACCACAACTCTCACTAAAGGGATTTTTGTGAAGAAACAAAAATGTATGGTAGGCCTACATGCGTAAATATAGTTTATGTATGTCATTAAAATACCGTTATAAAACACGGCTGCTATACGGCCCCCACCGCACAGCGAATCCATTTTGTTTCACTCTGGAGGAGTCACCGTGTAAAGCCTGGTTCACACGAGACGATTTTAAAATTGTCTCCCGATTTTTTTCTCTGTGTGAGACAATGGCAGGGCCATCTCGTTTACAAGCATGTTTTAAGGATTATTTCCGGTTGCACTTATGCTCCGTGGGGAAATTTAGATTAAACTGCATAAAGGAAAATCATTTTCTTTGTCAGTTGTAGTTTGTTTCGAAATAGAAAAAAATAATTGAGTAAAATCGATTTGTTGTCAAAAAAAAAATCTAAAATATTTTTTCAGTAATGTCTACAAAGATATGGCTAAATATGGACTACTCTATGAACACTTAGTCTTTGTGTAATCTGTTAAACATATATTTTGTACTTAATATTTGCTCAATGGAGCAAATCCAGACCTTAGTACCAAATTAAATTTGTACTATGGTATGGTAAGACCATATAGACGTTGATAGCTTTTAATTTAGTATCACTCCTCAGCCTATCCCTGTCGCTTCAAACAGAATTTATGTATTTGCTTTTTAATTTAATTTACAGCTGCATATAAGTGTTCAAGTAATCATCTGACTTGTAATAAAACCTAAATAAAGTCTAACTATGGGTGTCATCCATCAAATTTTACCTCAAATAGAAAGGTCTAGAGTAAGAGTCAAATGGTGTAACCGGTCACACCGTCATTTTAAAATCATTTTATTCAGGCATCAACATGGACTACTCTATGAACACTTAGTCTTTGTGTAATCTTTTAAACATATATTTTCTATTTAATATTTGTTTATACATTATAAATCAATTATATACGTTTTACTCGGGTCATACCATTTGACATGTAAACGGTTGTATACATCCTCATGTCTGAAATATGTCATTATTTCATATTTTGAAGAGAGAAACTGGCCTTGACATGTGGCCTGTAGTGTCATCAGGGGTCCTGCTGCCAGATGTCACTTACTGTCATTTAATTTTCTTTTGCATTATGAGCAAAATGGCCGCCTGAATGCCGGTCACACCACCTTGACATTAAGTGAAGTACGCTTGACTTCACAATTCCCGGATTCAGACAAAAAAGGTCCAACCAAACTGAAACATCTATCATTAATATAAATAGTTAAATATTATGCCAGGCTGTTTTACAAGGGGACAATGAGAGCTGCCACCCATTTCTCATAGCACCAGTCCCTCGCTGATCTTCTGCAATTGGTGGGTCCACAGGAAGATGGCTGCTACATTAGTGGTGCAACAGCCTTGGTGTTTCAGCGTGAGCTTCAGGCAATGTGGGGTTAATTGTCTTTCCCAAGGACACAACGACACCAGACATTATTGGGAGCAGTTGGAGTAAGTCCTGAGGTGGGCTCGAACCCACGACCTGTATATTTACAAATGATCAAATAGGTGACTGATGAAAGCAGCACTAATCTCCCAATACATTGGTTAACTGTTATCCATGTTTAACAGCTCCGTCGGAAGTTGGCAGTCTTACAAAAAGAATACCTCCGAACAGTCCAGAGACTAAAGGTAATAAGGAAGACTATCTGTATAAAAACAACAGAAGTTAGAAACCAAATGTGTTTTGTGACAGCGGGCTGAGCATGTGGAGTCCCGACGCACACACGTGAGGAGCCGAATCACACTGCACAACCACCATGACGAATCAGAAGCAGATGTCAAACCCATACGTTCATCTGTAGCTGAGGAAGAGGGATCCGAGGGATGCAAGGGCCCTCAACCAGGCCTGGAGCAGATACCACAGCTTTCTTATGGTAAGAGTGGACTAGCCAGTCTTTGCTTATACACCCACATAGTATATAAATAATGTGGCCTTACCTACTTGCCTCGATTCAACCACCTGTCAGATCTATCTCGTCAGATGCACAGGTATTGTAATACCTTGCTAATTTACAGTTGGCAAATGTGAATTGTTTCTTGTTCCTTCAACAAAAGCATATGTTGCGTTACTCAATTGCCTAACTGATATTGTGCAAATACATGTTTTACACAGGTGTGACCACTTCACTTCAGAAGAACCCACTGAGATCCCAGGCGGTTCACTTCTCCCTCATGCCCGATGGAGCCTACTCCCCAACCTCAGACTCCAGCCAGGATTCTTGCCAGAATCCCCGATCCAGCCTAGCCCACCGCCTTCGGTCCCGTCGCAGCCGCATCCGCTGGGCAGAGAGGAGTGCCCACGCAGACCAGAGCACTGCTAACAGCCAGGAAGAACCAAAGAAAAGAGATAAGCTGCGCTACACTGAAAATCAGGTTTTACATGAGAACAAAGAGCTGTGTTCCTCATCCGAAAACCAAACCCCCTCTTTGCTGCTTCCACATTGGAACTTACAAGGTTGTATCGAAAAAGAAGAGACCACAAACCATTGCCTAACTCTAGAAAGAAGAGCTGAAGCCGTTTTGAATGGTCAGGAACAACCACTCAACCCTAATAGGTATCTGATTGAAGAAAAAAATAAATCTGAGCTTAATGACTTTGAAATTCATGCAAAGAATATTTTAAAGAATAAAGAAGACCACACTGTTAATGAGGTTATTAAACACCAACCATATTTTGAAAAGGATATTGAAACAATCTCAAAATGCAAAGAAAAATCCTCCAGCCCTCTGTCTTCAGCCCCACTGCTGCTTGAAGTTAAATATGTTTCTCTGCAAAAGGACCACAGTACAATGCATTCAGAGATGGAGGATATTTTTAAGAATGGGAACAACCACTCTGCAGTTAGTCGAATGGAAAACGATGACACTCAAAACCATCGGCTAATACTCAAAGAGGGCAGTTCAAAATGTAAAGACAGAACTATGTGTAAAATCCATTCAGAGTTAGAGGAGTTTCATGAGAAAGGAAAACATCAGGTAGACAAAGGTAAGGATGAAAAGGTAGTGATTGTAAAACAACCTGTATCACTCAAAAATGGAATCACTTTGCTATCAGAAACAAAAGTATCTCCATCAAATGACAAGCAAACATTTCAGTCAAACTCGGAATATATTTACACGAATGAAACATATCAGACTGAAGAAAAAAACATGAAACATAATCTTCATCTGAAAGCCATAAGCGATGAATTCCAGAGAATTCCTACAAGGGCTTCTGTGAGGACTGATCCAGGAGATGCTGGTCAAAGACTGGTGGATTCTTGCACTCTTGTGGACGGGCTGCTTTTCCCCGCAGAGTATTACATTCGAACCACCCGGCGCATGTCCATGTCGCGGAGCCAGCCAGACACAAGCGCCGTCATCTTTTCCCACCTCCAAGGGGGAAGGCAGAGAAGGGCCAAAGGTAGGGGAAGAAGCAGTCAGCTAAAGCAGGCCATTCCAGAAGATGGGTCTGTTCTGGACATTTCAAAAGGTTGTAGCAGCCCAAGTTCATGCAAGATTCTCAGTGGAGGTTCGGTTGGGTCAGCTCTGAGAAGAGGAAAGAGAGGGAGGAGAGGCAAAGGACGAGGACGAGGGCTTGCAAAATGCATAGAAAGTAAAAATGATCCATCAGCAAAGGACTTTGCTACAAAAGTTGTCCTCGCATCTGAAGAACCAAGGTCAGGGGAGGTCAAACATGAGAATGCATTTGGAGCAGCTTCTGGAGAAGGAGCACAGCCTTTCAATAAACAAGAGATTGGTCCAATTATTCCACAAACTAACCAAGGTGAAAGAAATGGTGTGCAGAAGAAGGCCGGTAAGTTTACAAAATTAAAGTTGTTGTGGCATAAACCTGACCTACAAATCAGAATACATTGTACTTGGTAGAGCTGCAATGTTAGTTGCAATAAAATCAAAATTGCAATCTCTTGAATGACTACAAACACAAAAAATTTTAGAGCGCTGCTTCCCCCTCTTGTTGCATTTTTCAAAACTCAGTCCATCCTTCTGTAGAGGTCAAAAATGAGTCCAGAAGTAAACAAAACATCACATTAAAATTTAAATAAGAGCTTTTCATCACATTTCTGTTTTCCATCAAAACGGAGATCATAAAACTAACCATAATGTCCCTCTGTATCTCATATCCAACTCCCAAAATTCGAGCACACATCAAACAAAACCATGACTGAGATAGAAATCTAAAAGGACAATCATTTTGTTGATTTCTAGTAGCAAGCATTTCAAAACTATAATATATATGAAATTTAGCTGACATTTGTATATGTATTATAAAACTAAACCAAAATATAGCACCGCACCTTTTTAAATGAAAGCAGGCAGGTAAAAAAAAAAATACCTTGTCATGTGTAGTACTGAGTTTGTACTGTTTTTAGCAAAACTCCAGCAGGTGGTTTGCATGAGTAATGAGTGCTTAAGAGCTGTATGTCATAAGCAGGAATTTTCTAGCAGCAAAGGTTGGTTTGTATTGACTTAATTAGACCTCTAAAAGTGTTTCCTAAGCCGCATTTCCACCACAGGAACTTTGGGGTAATTTTCTAGGGCCAGCCCCGTCGGTGCGTGTCTCCACTGCAGGAACCTCCCCCACAGGGTCATTTACAGGAACTTTTACGGGGCCCAACGGAGCACCTCCTCCATTCTAGGTACTTCGTTGGGCCATGAACAGCTCCAGGTGGGGCTTGAGGTTAACCCGCCGCTGATTGGGTAAAGCTAGCGCAGGCTCTGACGCCAGGAGAAAGCACCAAAACAACTGGCATTTTAAAAATCCAGCAGCTTTAGCCCAGCAGCAATAGCCTAGCAGATACCACTGGAAACAGCAAGATGTACGATAAATGGATGGATGATGAGGTGCAGGCATTGATTCAGATGAGGTTTGAGGCATCGCGGCGAAATGAGAAGATATATTAAGACATATCAGCTTCACCTCAAAGCACAAGGGATTCATCACACTCCAAAAAAAAACTGTAGCAAGACTATAAGAAAACTCGACCACAACAACCGAAGAGGTTACGACCGTAAAATAAACAAGTGGGTTTGGTGTAATGAGTTTCGCTTATGCGGCAACAGTAATTCATGACGTTGCCGAGGGGTCCTTCTCTGCAGTGGAGACGCTCACTGAGAGGGCCGAGAGAGAGGACGGTTCCTGTAGAAGTTCCACCCAGCTCCTTTTACCAGAGACTCCTGCGGTGGAAACGCGGCTATACTGTCCCTTTAAGGTTCCCTTTAAGTATCATGTTTAAGGGAAAAATGTATACAAATATTGTAGGTCAAAATAAATAAATAATTTGTAATATTGGTGTTAAATGTCTGCTGAGCAAAGTTGAATCTTCATAACTCCAATAGGTTAAAACGCTGTCTGTTAATTAACATATTGATCTTTCCTTGTCTTGTGCAGCTCAGAAAAACTGGACTGGTTTTCTCCTGCCTCCATCTTCCCCCACTTTCTCCCCCCCACCTCACATCATCCCCCTTCTCAAAAACATGCTGTCCTCTGACATCCTGGACTTTCACCTCCCAGACGACCAGTTCGGATCACTGAAGCTACTCAAACTTCACCAGATTATCTCCGGAGTGGAACAACTGATTTCCAACAACTCTGTGGGTGACCAATGCAGGCATGCATTACCGCCGGATCCTTTCTTTCCCTTGCCGACACTTGAAACTTACCCAGAACATGTGTATATAGGTAAAACAAAAGTAGAACATATTAAGAATTTTGCATGTTCTAGTCCAAAAGTCTTCAGGTCAGTCTCATCCCCCGAAAATGCAAAAGATGGCCGAATACCTGCACTTTCTGATACAAACTGTGCAGTTCTAGTTGAAAGTAAGCCTCTGGAAACAAAAAGCAGTATAAAAGAGCTTAATATTTCCACAGCTCAATGTAATGTTATTTTGCCTTTGCCAAGGAGTGAAAACCAAAATGAGAATATTGAAACAAAGGCCAAAATCTCAGGTCACGCTATTTCTGATTGTTTGAATGTGAAGGGCAATGTAGCTTTAGGGTCATCTGCTGTGTATGAAGATTCACCCGAAAAGTCCTTAGAAAAATGTGAACATATACAAACAAACAAACTGAAATGTGGAAGTATATCAAGAAAAATAAATGATTGCGAAAAACCAAATACAGCAAACAGGGGCCCCTCACAGCTGTTGCTGAGCCCTTCCCTCGATTCAACCACCAGCCAGCTCACCCTGCCCAAGGTCGGTGTCCTGCCCAGAGCCCTCCCACTGCCTCTGGTCTACAGCGTTCCCAGACCTAATGTGCTCACTCCACCTGGGGCGCCCGAGAGCCACTGTCAAGCGACGGTCTACAGCAGTCCCAGCTCCGACACGCTCTCATCCTGCCTGCCACCAGCAGAGACCGGGCTCGCAGAAAGGATACTGCCCGAGAGACTCATGCCGAGACGGGGAGAGGGTGCAGGAGATTCCACATGCAGTTTAAAGGTAGTTACCCTGCTGTTCTGCATTTTAGAATGTTTCCAAAAATCTATTGAAACTTATCAGAAATTCTCAATTTTATGTTTAATGAATGATGTCTTGCATATGTATAGTTTACTGCTTCTTGAGCAGAGATGAGCCGGACCGTCTCTTTTTTTTATGTTTACATGGCTTCCACAAGTGTGGATACATGCCTAGGGAGGCAAAGAGAGGCAGAAAGGAAAAGCCATGTTGCAGAGGTTTTTTTTGCTATGAAAACATAAGAAATAAGAAAAGACAAAACAACAGACATTAATACAGAGAGAAAAAACTTTGCAATTTGATGTGTACATGAGCACGTGTGTATATGTGTGCGTAAGGGCTGGGCCTGTGCGCGCCTGGTGGACATGTGCTGTGTGCCCTCCTCCTCTGGTTCTCTGAGTCTGGCTGCAGCTGGACAGTGGATTGTGAGTCTGTGGAGCCAGAGAGGACCTCAAAACGAATGGAACCTCACTCACACCTGGAGCTTTGTAGCGGTGAGAGCTTATTATATCTATGTTCCGGTGGAATACAACGTGCAGTTTCAGATTTCTAGATTGGTTGCATGTATTTTCATTGACTTTCTAAAGTGAACGTTTGTGGTGTTTGCCTGCAGCCTGTTCTCCGAGTGTTCCCGATCCCAGACACTCCAGACTGCATATGTTTGACACTGGGTCAACTGGAAATTCAACAAGTCAGGTGAACAAAAAAATACACAGGATTTTTTGTTTTTCATTTGGGTTTTGTAGTGCTAGAAGGAAGATTGTAGGAGACATTCCCAGCCCAGGGGTTATGAAGAAGTGTTTGACAGATTAGACTTTAAGACTGAGATTGAGGTATAGCTGCAAGTCCAGCCTGCTGCAACAGTGAAACAAACGCTGCACCGTTCCCTCCACGAGGGGTAATCGAAGCTCATGAGACTAGCCACTGCCCAGGGGTCAGGAACATTCATGTAAAACATTCACGAGGCATGGAGTTAGCTGTTTGAGTGGCTTGTCCTGCAACAAATTTTCAGCCGAGTGGTTGGCTGTTGGTTGAGTCTAGTTGGTTTATCTAGACCTTTACTTTCCACAATAATACTGTAGAGATTAATATATTTAATTGTGTGTGTGTGTGTGTAGGCTGCTGTCCTGTTCCTCTCTGGGACAAAGCCTACTGTGTACTCGTCCCGTTCATTTGGTCATTGCAGCGTCCATGTCCCGAGTGGTGTGCTGCTCTAATGCAGACTCCTCCGCTAGACTCTGGATCTTGAGACTGTCTAACACCAGGTAAGGCCTGACCTTGAGGGAAGCAGATGTTCGCCACAAGTGTGCATATAGCCCCCATGTGCGCCCATGTGTTTATTTCCCATGGGTCAATTTTTAAAGAGCTTGGCTTGATAGCGCATTGAGTCGGAATAGGAAAGCCACATTGAGAGGTCATCCTACCAGAAGATTTATTGCGCATTTTTTCTGAAGTAGTCAGCAGTTCAGCGGAGAAGAGCACAAGAAGTTGAAGGGCTTTCATTCATAAACGAGGGGTTGTGTGGTGTAGTAGTGCAAGTTTCTCGCCAGAATTGTTTCCACAGGATGAGGGCTTTTACATTGATTGTGTATGTAACAATTATTACTAATTATACAATAATTTTACAAAGTACCTAAATTTAACTTGTTTGGAGAATGGATGTAATGTTTTTTCCTGTGTTTCTGGTCAGCAGCCCTGCTGTGGCCCATGCCCTGGTGACTCCTGGAGTCCTCCTCAGCTCCCTGGCTACTGTAGAGGGACTTTCAGATGCTCTCATTGGGATGGACCATTCTGGCTGCCTTTACATCTGGTCAGATCCATTGAATTCAATTAAATTCAATTTATTCTTGTATAGCCCTAAATCACCACAGTAGTCATCTCAGAGGACTTAACAAAGCCGTTGAAATTGTCAACACGGATCAGAGAATCAACAGTTAAGACACAAAAAATAGAGAACACATAGGTATTGGTGAACTTGTATATTAGGGCTATTGGCAAAATTATGCCATATTATTCTGTAAATGGTTGTATGAATGGAAAGATAAATGACAACATAGTGTACATATGTACTGTATTTGTTTATTATAACTCATTATATATATACACAAAAATGGCGCCGCCAGCAGTGTGCATGGCGAAGCGTCTCCCTACCCTAGTAGGAGTTTTGCAGTATATTTTAATATTTTGTTGCAACATTGTTTCTCAATAGTTATTACCTATGAACGCCAGTCATTACTTGATATCCGTGCACTGCAAGATAAACTTCAGCAGCGTCAATTTGAGCGCTCTTCCTCTGGCCTGCCGCTTCACTCTGCCATACCGGCTTACCTGCGTCGTGTACCTTTCCTCAGAAAGAGGAAAAGGGGAAAGCGTGGCGGACATCTACCAAAACATAGGATTTACCTTTGAACATGTGGGAATAAGTGTGTGCGCTATCCAATGGAGATCTCTCAGCGAAGCGTTGGTTTATTCCTGTGCCTGTCCAAGTGTGGCGCTCTCAGACCACCTGTCAACGCGGAGTTGATAGTCGCAATCTCAGTCAGCCCGCTCGGTGCTGTGCTTCTGACAAAAGCACTGATAAACGCCATATCGCTTTCTAACAAGACATTCCTGCTGAATGACTTTTTTACTGCACGCTAACTGGATTTAATTATTATGACTGAGACGTGGCTACATCCTGGTGAGTCCACAGCGCTTTCTGACTTCTACTTCCCAAATGTACATTTTTAAACTCTCCTCGCACCTCAGGAAAGGGTGGAGGGGGTAGTGACTGTATTTAAATCCTGTTTTCAATCTCAGAGACTTCTATCAGCCATATATTCCAGCTTTGAGCTGCAGTTGTTTGAAATACAGTTGCCATCACCAGTTTCATGCGTGCTTATTTATTGCCCCTAAAAACTTTATTCAAGACTTTTCCAACCTATTGGTGGAGATTGTGTCTGATACAGATAGACTTCTAATCGTGGGAGATTTTAATATCCACATATGCTGTTACGCCAAACCTCTGGTCACTGACTTCCTAAATGTGATTGCTGTTTTTAAGTGTTTTCGGGAAAAGCCTATGGTTGAACCGTGGCTCAATGACACCACCTATGCGATAAGACCTGACTGTAGGCATGCCGAAATGAGATGGAAAAAAGACAAACTTCACGTCTCACTGGGAATTCTTAGACTGCTTAGCAAAGTATCAAAGTTAAAGATGCTAAAGCTCAATATATGTCCAGCATTGTTTCCAACAACAGTCATAGACCCCAGGTCTTATTAAAGGGTTTTAAATGGTATTGTAAATCCTTCTGATTCTCCTGCTAATGTGTTTTCTGATGAACTGTGTGAACTGTCATTTAACTTTTCATTCAAACAACCATTTACAGATAAAATGGCATAATTTTGTCAATAGTTCAAAATGCGATTAATTATTATTAAACTTAAATTAATTATTAAACTGTGATGAACTCGATTAAAAATTGTAATCGTTTCTTTTGTCTCTTTAATTCAAAAAGAGTGTCACAAAGTAAATTGGATGTATCGGTTGTAATCAGTATAAAAACAGATTTCGCAAATGGTAGAAGACTGGTGATTGGCCTGAAAATTATTGATGCACCTCTATCCATTACCTCTAACAAAGGCCACATTTTATGTTTTTTTTTCTAAAAGAAAATATGTGGGAAAAGGTGTAAATCTCAATTTGGAAGGATCAGAGTTAGTAAAAAGATAAGGATCTCAAGATTACATAATTTTATTGCCATTGCCTCAAAAATAAACAACAAAATGAGATTCAGGTGCTGCAGGAGCATACACAGAGCTCTTCATGTGTTTGTTTGTATTTTTTTTCAGTCAGGTTTACCTGTTTTTCCCCGGTTAATTCAATGTTTGGTTTGCTTCCATTTTGCTTTATTATTTAATAACAATCTATCAACATTTTAAAAAGAGGAAGTATAATTTATTTAGTTGCATTTTTTATACTTAAAGGTTTTAGTTGTTGTGTGTATGTGACTCTGGAACCATGGCTTAACACGGCATCAGCTAGATGGCTGCAGGACGGGTCTATAGTTTCTACTCACTGATCACTAACAGACTGTTGTCTTCAGGAACATGGTTACTGGACACCTGCTGAGGAAGCTCACACTGGGAGAGGGCCTCTCACATTCAACCTGTCTCAGAGGATACTCCTGCAATGTAAGGCTCCTCTTTTTGTGGTAAAACATTGAATATTATGCTTCGAAACCTACTTTGTGACGTGTGACTATGCATCTTTCTAATTACACTTTTGGTGCTTTCTATAGCATCATCTGGTGGTTTGTAACTGAACACATCACGCATAACTCATGTTTATTCAGAGGTCTGAACACGCATGATGAATGTACTTCTTGATTATCAATTAATGAATATAGTTACCTCAAATGATCTGCTGAAATATGAATGGCACACTTTACCGTTTAAGGTTGGCCAAATTGCAGCTCCTCCATAAGGAAATGTGTCTGGGGCGGCACTAGCCTGGTCTTAGCCCTCCATACACTCCGCTCAATCATAATTTCTCTGCATGTAACGTCTGGGTCTGGTCCCTGTGTTTGCGATTACAATCTGTTGAATTCCATCCGACCAATCAGCGTGCACGGGAGGCCGGTGTTGTAGTTAGTTGTGGGTGATGTTAAGAGTTTGCGTCGAACAGGCAGGTTGTAGTTTGGCAATGGGGGCGAATGCGATAGTAAAGTAATCCGGTCTGGTGCTATCAAGAAATTGAAGCCGGAGCAAGAGGTATGTTTAGCAAATGTAGTCGCTGGCCAAGATTGTGGCGCTACTCCCCACGGGTTTCGTTAGCGGCAAAGGAGATGGCTAGGCTAAATGCTAAATGCTAACGACTCACTCGGGCGCATTACATACGTTACGGTAAACTCGGATCCAATCGTTTCAATCTGCAAAAGAACTTAACCCCTCCCACCTGTTATCGGAGCTCAATGGAGCACCTCCAGACCTTAGTATGAAATGTAATTTGTACTATGGTGTGGTACGACCAGGCTAGGGTGGAACAATCGCTGAGTGGATAACACTTCTCAGCAATAAGGTCTTGGCTTTGATCTATTAGGGACACTGGCCCTCATTTATGAAACTTGCGCAGAAAAGGGTGTATATGCCAAATACGCAAGATACAATGTGGGATTTATGAACGTGCAAGATCCGCCCAGATCTGAGCGTACGCACAGCGGTTGAAATTAACGTATTTATGAAAAGCTACAGCGTGTTTCACGCCCCGTTTTTACCACAATTGAAAGGAAATGGCCAAGAAAAAAACTTCACAGAGCAGGAAATTGAGACCTTTTTGAACAAAGGGGGAAAAAAATTAAGTCTTACTATTTGGAGGCCTCAAAAGGGGCATCAAGGGGCTCAAAAAAAAATATATGGAAAGAGATGACAACATCTGTAAACGGTGTGGGGCCTGTAACACGCACTCCTGAAGAGGTGAGTTTATTCATGTTTGAAGAAATATACGCTATAAAAATATGTCAAACAGTTGACAGATATATTGGGCCAATAGTTAGAATTTACTAATTTATGCCTACAGGTGAAAGAAAATGGAGTGACCTTAAAATGGCAACAAAAAGGCGTTTAGCAGCCCAGGGGAGCATCCAAAAGAAAATAATAAGATATAAAATTATCTTCAAATTATTGATGTGATTATTATTTTTATATGGTTGAATGAGAGCTGTACAGGCGGAAGGCGGTGCTGGCCATGGAGGCCTGTTGTGGAGGACCGAGCCAGGATCTTGTACCGGGAGGTACCAGAGTGTACCCGCTGCATGTCCCAGAGCCATCTTCCTCTGATCAGACCCGCGCAGCGCTCCACTGTGGCGCGTGTCTTTGCTTGAACCCACATGAACCAAATGCCATTACGCACTGATTGTAGGTGCACATATTATCCACACATTTGTGGGAGACTTTTGAGTTTGACATCTTGCACGTTATTTGATAACACAAACTATCGGCATAGCCCAAACATAACTTTGTGTAAAATTGCATATTTGTAATGTGAGAGGTGTGCCTATATCTTGTCAGAGTGGGAATATGTTGATTGTTGTCCAAATCTTGAATTTCATGAGTGTTATTTGCATGTTGAGATGGGTGTAAAATGTACATCACCTCCAGACTCGGCGTATATTCTGTGCGTACCGTACGCTCCCTTCCAGATCGATAAATCCCTTAATGTGTACATACAGTATTTCGCGTATGCCTCATTTACACCATCATTTGGCCGTACGCAATTTTCATGAATGAGGGCCAATGTGCAGTTGCATTAAAAAGATGGCTGCACCAGATTTAGCACAAGAGCGATGTTGACGCGCACATCCATAGATTCAGACCTCAACACTCTGCTTGTTACTTGTCATGAGAGTTTTTATGTATCAGGCCAATATTAAAGTACCTGATCAGTTTATCAAAACTCAATATTTTGTATTTGTCAAGTATGAGACAGTGATGGTAACGGTTCGAATCCCGGTTCGGAGCAGGGTCTTTCTGATTAGAGTTAGCATGTTCTCCCTGTGCAGGTCCTTCTAAAAAAAATTGCGTATGGTGATAAAGTTATTTGTTTTCTGTAATTTACTGATAAACATTAGACTTTCATATATTTTAGATTCATTACACACAACTGAAGTAGTTCAAGCCTTTATTTTTTTAATATTGATGATTTTGACATAGAAAAGTAAGAAAAAAAACAGAAAAAAATTGGCATATCATGAAAAGGTACTCTAAACGAGCCATTAACCTAATCATCTGAACCAACAAATTAACTCTAAACACTTGCAGAAGATTCCTGAGGCTTTTAAAAACTCCCGGCCTGGTTCATTACTCAAAACTGCAATCATGGTTAAGACTACCTGTCTGCTGTCCAGAAGGCCATCATTGCGCGAAAAGGCTGTTCCCAGAGTGCTTTATCAAGGCACCTCAGTGGGAAGTCTGTGGGAAGGAAAAAGTGTGGCAGAAAACGCTGCACAACCCGAAGAGGTGACCGGAACCTGAGGAGGATGGTGAAGAAGGGTCGATTCCAGACCTTCTGGAGCAGAAACATCCAGAGCCACTGTGCACAGGCGTGTGCGGGAAATGGGCTACTGGTGCCGCATTCCCCAGGTCAAGCCACTTTTGAACAAGAAAAGGGCTTATTTCGGATTAAAGCAAATTTTGCATGTCATTCGGAAATCTGCAGGAAGACTGGGGAGAAGGAAATGCCAAATTGCCTGAAGTCCAGTATCAAGTACCCACAGTCAGTGATGGTCTGGGGTACCATGTCAGCTGCTGGTGGTGGTCCACTGTGTTTTATCATGGGCAGGGTCAATGCAGCTGGCTATCAGGAGATTTTGGAGCACTTCATGCTTCCATCTGCTGAAAAGCTTTATGGAGAAGAATTCCTTTTTCAGCATGACCTGGCACCTGCTCACAGTGCCAAAACCACTGGTAAATGGTTTACTGACCGTGGGATTACTGTACTCAATTGGCCTGCCAACTCTCCTGACCTGAACCCCAAATGGAATCTGTGAGATATTGTGAAGAGGAAGTTGAGAGTCACTAGACCTAACATGTGGATGAACTTAAGGCCACACCTCCGCAGTGCCTCGGGCTAATTGCCTCCATGCCACGCCATTTTAAAGCAGTCATTTCTGCAAAAGGATTCCTGACCAAGTATTGAGTGTGTAACTGAACGTAATTATTTGAAGGTTGACTTTTTTTTTATTAATAAGGATGATTTTGGCAAAAAAGTAAATAAAAACCAAAAGGCTTTAACTACTTCAGTTGTATGTAATGAATATAAAATATTTGAAAGTCTAATGTTTATCAGTACATTGCAGAAAATAATGAACTTTATCACAATATGCTATTTTTTTTTGAGAAGGACCTGTAGGTTTCCCCTACTAAAAACATGGTCAGGAATACTGGAGCAGGAGGACTTTACCTATTGTACAAGCCAAATATAATGATAATACAGAACAAATGCACATTTGGTTTTTCATCCAGGAAAGTCCAACAGAGATTCAAGATTCTTTTTTAGCTCTAGAGGGGACAAAAACATATTTTTAGTGATAGAGGAAACTAGGGCACCCAGAAACATACGCAGGCACAGGGAGAACAAGCAAACCCCCAACTGATTTAATATCTGAATGTCACACACAGTCCTGTGTTTATTGTCATACAGTGTGTGTCCATAGGGAGCGCTGTTTGTCCTTCTGCAGCACCACAAAGAGAAATGTATTGAGGAACAGAACGAGGGTGTGAAGACTCCGTTTTCTCTGGTGGTTGCAAACCCCCAGAATGACAAGTGTGTCCTGGCAACCAACCTGTCCCTCCCTGAGGACTGTAGCAGGTGAGTGATTGCCTCAATTGGCTCCTCTCGACATGGAGAAGCAACAGCTCGTCTGATATTTCTCCACATGTTTTGACACAAGGGAGTAGCTCAAAGACAATTTCTATTGAAATGTATTGTCTATCAGCTTGAAACATTTTAAGGCAAAACTAAAGGGAAGTGATTAAATAGAAGTCATATTTTACATGGTATTTGTAATAAGTCACAAAGATTTGGTGTACAATGATCAACTGTTGAATATATCCCGCACTCCTCTTGTTCTAGGCTTAGCTGTGCAGAGGCTCTGGGCTCTCGTGTTCTGGGTCTCAGCAGCGGCGGTTCGGTGTGCGTGTGGGACTTGGCTGAGTCTCAGAAGCCCAGACCAGTGTGTGGCTCTGTGGAGGGACTGGACTGCCACCTGGCTCGCTGGGGGACCCCAGGCATCCTCCTCACAGCTCTGGATAGCGGGGATGTAACGCTGCATTGCTATAGTGAGGGGAGCAGCAGAGTCATGCACACACTAAGCCCCATGCAGACTGAGGGGAAACCAACAGCCATGCATATCCAGACTCCCTGAGCTATTGTTTTGTCCCATGTTCTGTCTGTTCTTAGATTTTACCTTTGTCAAGCTTTTATGGTTAACATTAAATTTGTAGTTTTAACATTGTCCTGCTGATTTTATATAGTGGTGCACAAGTTTACACACAGACACTGGCATATTGAGAGCCTTTGAGTATGAAATGGATATTTTCCCTACTCGTAATTGGTTGGGTGATGTACCATTAAAATTTATTTGAGTTAGATGTACAAACATCACAATTATGAGCCAGATTTTTACACAATATTAATACATGAAGTTACCAATTAAAACTGATATCCATGCTTCCCCTCCTTGGAGGCCTGACCGCCTCCTGGCTGGACCTCCGCAGTAGGACCGGAGTGTGACCTCACAGCCAGTATAGAGCGGGAAAGTAATAGTTTGGGCTCTTGGTCGGTGCATAAACTCAGAATATGTAGCTGGCAGGCCTAATGTGGCCCGGAGCCTCCCAGGGTCCTCTCTCAAACCATCTCCTTGGGGTATGATATTTTCTGTATTATGTTGATTAAAGTGATTGTCTGGAGTTTGTCAGAAAGAGAAACAGAGGTACTTGATTTGACAAAAAAGACGCAAGCTCCCTCCCCCTTCCTTTCTGGTTGGTCTACACTAGGGGTCGGCAACCTAGGGCACGCGTTTGTGTGTGTTACAACACATTTAGTATTTTACAACACATTCAACACCTTACAACACATTCAGCACCTTACAACACATTTAGCACTTTACAACACATTCAACACCTTAAAACACATTTAGCACTTTACAACACATTCAACTATGGGGTGCCGATTGTAAAAATTCTGTTAATTTTTTAGCTGAACATTTTTCTACATTTAGCTCACTTTCCTCACATTTAGCACATTTTCCTCACATTTAAGACATATCTATATCTAAATATTATATCTATATCTAAATGTTAATGTTATATCTAAATATTATATCTATATCTAAATGTTAAATCTAAATGTTAAATCTAAATGTTAAATCTATATCTAAATGTTATATCTATATCTAAATATTATATCTATATCTAAATGTTAAATGTTATATCTAAATATTATATCTATATCTAAATGTTATATCTATATCTAAATGTTAAATCTAAATGTTAAATCTAAATGTTAAATCTAAATGTTAAATCTAAATGTTAAATCTAAATGTGTCGCCAAGTGTAAAGCTAAATATATAGAAACCACGCCCACTGCAGTGGCTTCAAATCCAGTGGGCCCGCCTTTCGTGCCGTGTGGTGAGTGGGGGCGGTGCCGCGTGTTTTGAACATAGGAATACACGTGGACCGACGTCACGGCTCAAGGCATGTTGGGTCTCCGGCGCCATCGTCCTTGGCCACGGCACAAAATTAGCATTTTTGTGAAGATTCTTGCTTATTTGCTGGAGCCAGAGTGTATTCACTGTAAACTAAGCCACGTGGAGTCCCGTGAGATTCCTGTGTAATCCTGTAGGGTTCTCACCACACGGAAGGCGGGCCCACTGGATTTGAAGCCACTGCAGTGGGCGTGGTTTCTATATATTTAGCTTTACACTTGGCGACACATTTAGATTTAACATTTAGATTTAACATTTAGATTTAACATTTAGATATAGATATAATATTTAGATATAGATATAACATTTAGATATAGATATAACATTTAGATATAGATATAACATTTAGATATAGATTTAACATTTAGATTTAACATTTAGATATAGATATGACATTTAGATATAGATATAATATTTAGATATAACATTTAACATTTAGATATAGATATAATATTTAGATATAGATATGTCTTAAATGTGAGGAAAATGTGCTAAATGTGAGGAAAGTGAGCTAAATGTAGAAAAATGTTCAGCTAAAAAATTTTAACAGAATTTTTACAATCGGCACCCCATATTCAACACCTTACAACACATTTAGCACTTTACAACACATTCAACACCTTACAACACATTCAGCACTTTACAACACATTTAGCACTTTACAACACATTTAGCACCTTACAACACATTTAGCACTTTATAACAAATTCAACACCTTACAACACATTCAGCACCTTACAACACATTCTTCTTACTTCATCTTCTTCACTTCTTCCCCTTCTTCCCCTTATTCCTCTTCTTCCCCTTATTCCTCTTCTTCCCCTTCTTCCCCTTCCTCTTCTTCCTCCTCCTCTTCCTTCTTCTTTCCTCTTCTTCCCTTTTCTTCTTCCTTCTTCATCCCTAACCCTTACAACATCTATGCAGCCACTCACAATGGCTTCAGCCATTGTACCATTTCTACTTCTTCTTCCACTTCCGCCAGATTTTTGCATTTTTCAACTCTTCAACGCTTTCACCAAATTCAACAAATTATAGATTGTTACGACCGGCTTCACTGTCTCATTATTGCTATTACTTTTCACACTTCCACCTTTTGCACTTTTTCAGATATTAACAAAAGTTCAAGCACTTTTTCCCATTGACTTACATTGGACCAGTACAACAGATTACTCCCCCATACAACACATTACCACACTAACAATTCATTACCACAGATACAATACATTACATCTTACAACACTTAAGCCTAGTGTATACTTGCGCGGCGTGGCTTACGTTAGCGGTTGCGGTGGACCTCCATCCATCCATCCATTTTCTACCCTTTAATCCATTTCTGGGTCAGGGGGGTGGCAATCAGAGATGCCACCCAAGTCTCAAACAAAGTCTACAACAAATTCTACAACAAATTCAACACCTTACAACACATTCAGCACTTTACAACACTTACAGCACCGTTCAACACATTCAGCACTTCACAACACATTCAGCAATTTACAACACATTCAGCAATTTACAACACATTCAGCAATTTACAACACATTTAGCACTTTACAACACATTCAGCACTTTACAACACATTTAGCACTTTACAACACATTTAGCACTAACCCTTCCAACATCTATGCAGCCACTCACAATGGCTTCATCCATTCTACCATTTCTTGTAATAAAACTTGTGAACTTATGCATTTGCATACAATCTCAAGTGCTCACCCCTTATTTGCAAACTTGAGATTGTTAGTGTCACAGGGTAGACGCACAGCGCACTTTGTTTTTATGCATGCTTTTATTTTGAAATGTGTTTTGTGTGCCGCACTGTGTGTTTTTACTTCCTGTTTTTTTATCCTCACACCTGTGGCAGCTTCCACTAATTTTAACGAATGGACATAGACACTGGGGGCTGGAGCCAATGAGAAAAGGGTTTTTAAACAGACTATGGGGGAGGAAGAGAAGAAAACACAGGTTGATGACAGAGCGTCTTGGGCAACCGAGGAGAGGAGGCAACGGAGAACGGCAGCAGCAGTCAGCAGTACCTGCACAGGACCCACGGAAAGCCAGAGCGCGACGCGGACTACACGCCTCTGCCCGTGCCTGTAAGTAACATTGTAGTGCTCTGCTCGGGCATACGGCTGCTGCTGGCCGATAGAAATCTGTTTTTAAGGCGTTTTACTGTGGGAGACCCGTTTTTGTTTCAGGGAGGGGCCTGGCCAGCCATTCCCTCGTGTGGAGCCAGAGCACGACGTGACATCACCGCAGCGGGCAGAGTTTCTCTGCCCGTGCACGTAAGTGACCTTTAGTGCTCTGGCCGGGATTCATCCCACTTTTAACCTACAGATTTCTATTTTTAAAAAGAACGTTTTACTGCCTCCTGCTCCTCTGGTTTTAGGTCTGCTGCCTTGGGAACGCGGAGTTGCCCCGTCCCTTGCTGGACTTTTAACTGGACTTTGCTTTTATATTTTTAGTATTTTATTCTGTAATTTTATTTGTAATAAATTGTTTTATCCCTTTTAAAACTCTGGTTTTTACACTGCTCACCTTGTTTTTAAGAACCTTCCTTTATTGAGTCCTAGTCTCATTTTTAAAACTAGGTGGCGTTGCTTTCCCTTTTTATATGCTACTCGGCCACATTAGCACAACAAATGCATAAGTTCACTTATTAGGTTCAGTTCAGGTTCCACTACATAAACCTATGTTGAGTGATTATTAGTTTGAGTGTCTATTAGAAAAAATGTTTAATTGTTTAAAAACAATATATAAAGTTAATAAAGCACACATGTGGACTCGTACCCACATTTCCACGACCGCACACATTTGCTTAACCACCACACTACCGTCAGGCATTCACTGGCTGCTTCACAGCCAATAACTTGTTGTTCTACGTCATGGTGCTACGTCCCTTAGGACTTCGCTAGTGGGATATCACTCGTGACCCCCAGGTCACGCGCCAGAAAGATCAAAATAATTTGCTCCAATCACCAGCCACCTTCCTCTATAAATGCCCCTGCACAAGGCCGAACCCCCTCTTTCACTCTGGCGCCGATTGAGATCTACGTTCAACTTACCTGAGGAAAGATGTCTTCTGATGCTCGTCCGAGTTCCCCTTCGCCATCCGGCGTCGGACGTCGTCGTTGCTCGACTTGTCGGGCCAAGCTCCAGCGCAAGGACCAGCACTCCAGCTGCTTCGTGTGCCTGGGTTCGGGCCATGCGGCGTTGAGCGCCACCTGCGCCTCGTGTCTCGCTCTCCCCAGGGAGGAGAGTGAACGCAGGCGCGCGTTCTTCGCCGCTACAGCGCCCCGTCCGGACTTCTCTCAGGACGAGGAGTCTGTGATTGAATGGGCCCCTCTCGACCTTCCACCCGTGCCCGCGGAGTGGGGTGACTTGAGGACGGAGAGGTTTCGGAGGTCGGCTCTCTCCTCACGCTGGACGAGGTGGTGTCCAACCCGGAGCCGGACCGCTTCCCGCTGGACCACATGCCTGGGCTCTATTCCACGGCGGCGGCCATCATGGATGCCCCCCTGCCACCGCAGCCGAACCAGAGGGTGGAGGACTTCACCTCTGGTTACGCCACCACTCGAGGGAGGAGGAGGGCGCAGCCCACCTTGTGCCCGCGGATGGACCCGATCGTCCATTACGCGACACGTGAGTGGCCAAAGCCCCTA